GAGAATACTCTATGATATGATTAAGAATCTCTAGCCAGAGTATGAATGAGATTTAGGAAGTCGTTCCAAATCACATTCAAAGTAATCATATAAGTAAATGAATCACAGTGGATAGTAGACATGAATAAACTATCAAACCAAACAATGTGGTCAAGAGTATTGTATTAGAGAAAGACCGTATTGCATTGTAATCTTAAACTGAATAGGTTCTCCATCTCTTCTGATTAGCTTGGGTAACCATGACATACTGCTAGGTGTCACTCATTGTTTGTGGAAGCCCTAAACATATATAAACACTAAAGGGAGAATTGAAAGTAAGTTTCAATTCACAATCGATTTGAAAGAGTTCTAATCGCCCACTGCCTCGCTAAAAGGAACCTAATGGATCGTACACCGTGTAAGGTAGAGATTGAAAACAACGGAGATGAGTAGGGATAATTAAATGGTTTAATTATTTATGGCAATGATTAATTAATATGTTAATTAATCAAACGAATAAAATTCGTTAAAGACCTCGGGTTAGTTTTGGGCCTCAATGCCCAATGGGCTTCGAACGTCAAGCCCATTGACTTAAGTTGTATGACAACTTAATGACTAAATATTCACAAAGGCCTAAACAGCCCAATAACACCCTATGGCCGGCCATATTCATAAAGGAGTGGGTTTTGGACTTATTACAAGTTTGCCACTCCAATGAAGGTAGGTATAAATATGACTTTATAGCCTTTTCTTCATTAGGGTTTCTTTTAGAGAAAAGATGTGAACACAATGTCTCTCCCTTTCTCTCTAAGTGGTCGGCCCCCTTTGAGGAGATTAGCTAGCAATCTCTCATCCTCCAAGGTCACTCATCTCTTCTTCAAGTCCTACCTTGGTGTGAAAAAATTAGAGGTTCTCAATTTTGGGAACTTGGAGAATCCTTTCAATCATCCTCATCCAAGATATCCATGGATCTAAGAAGCAAGGAATGAAGGCCCTCTCCTTAAGTGATTAGCCTTTGCTTATGCAAAGAGGAATCAACAAAGGTATAAAATCTCTCAACTCACTTTGTTCTTGAGTTGAGTCTTGGTTCACCTTTCTACTAGGCTTTGAATTTCATAGGTAATGTTTTGTTTTTTAGTGCATACAAGCATAATTCCGCCTTTAATTGTTAATTGCATGCCATAGATGTTGCTCAAATGAACATGTTTTTTCGCAAATTTTCCTTCACGCCAGAGGTTTTCTGGGCCTCAAATTCCATGGTTTCTGAAGTAGCACCTCAGCTTCCTCCTCTTCTTGATCACTCTCCTACTCCTCGCTCTTACGACGCTTGTTTTCCGAGCATAGGATCAACGATAATCGACAACGATCAGCGCGGGAGGACCCGACATGGTTGTAGCGGTCAGATTCAGAGTCTGGGTCGGAGGCTTGTTCGGCGGAGGCAGGTTGGCTCTCGAGGTCTCGCACACAGTCCCACTTTGAACCCTCGGATCCAAAGCGCCAAAGCCAAACGGACCTGGATCTAGGTTCGCCGCAAGATTATTCCCCCCCATCATAACTAAACCCAGAACCATTCCCAACCTTCTGACCCACCAACCCTTTGAGAGCGTAGAGAATGCTCTGGTAGTCGAACATATCCAAATTGAAAACTTTGAGCTTCTTTTTGTCACAGGAAATCTTACCCAACTGCGATTCCCCATGTTTCTGAACGGCAGCATGAACTATGTAACCCTTTTGCAGCAGCTCAGTGAGGCTGGTGTTCAAGCGGCCTGATATTACCATCCCGAGTCTGTGTACCCATCAGCAGGCTCTGCTTATTGGGGAGAACTTTGGGAAAATTGGGCTTGGGCTTGGTCGAAAACCTACTTCCTTGGGCTTAGCCTTTGCATTTGCCTTTCTTTTTTGCTTCGGAACAGTGGCGGGCTTCAAGCAAAAGAGAGAAATAAGTGGAGAGGGATATGTGGGTTCTTGGGAGGTGAAGCAGAACCATATCTGAAGATTTTTGTTATTTTGATTTTTGTTTATGATTTTGGAGCAGCCATGGGAACAGCCTGCTAAGATCTGCTGTGTTTTGGTGGGGGTTTCTGCAGATTCACGGCGGAGGTGAAAAAATGAAAAAGAACCGACACAACTTTTCGTATCGATTCCCACATACGGGGCCAAATGTTGATGCACAAAGCGAGGACTTTGGTACAACATAAAGTGTTAAGTTTGTGACCTTCGCTAGATTGCTCCGGTCACTAGTGTGGATAAGTAAGTAAATGGATAGAGACAGGGAAGCAAACACAAGATGTATGTGGTTCACCCAGATTGGCTATGTCCACGGAGTAGAGGAGTTCTCATTAATTGTGAAGGGTTTACACAAGTACATAGGTTCAAGCTCTCCTTTAGTGAGTACTAGTGAATGATTTAGTACAAATGACATTATGAAATATTATGAGAGAATGATCTTTATTTGTAGAAGAGAGTTTCTAGTTTCATTCTGACATTGACACGTGTCGTGTTGTGATTGGCTTCTGATGTTGACACGTGTCGTGCTATGATTTGCTTCTGATGTCGACACATGTCGTGCTGTGATTGGCCTCCTGGTTGGAGGGAAACTCTTCTGGGTCCTTGACGGTATAACGTTGACCGGTGCTCAGTAGTTTCGGGATTGGTCAAGTATGGTACAAACAAAACTAAAAAAAATACATATTGTTTGTACCATACTTGACCCATTCTGAAACTACTGATCACTGGTCAACGTTATACTATTAAGGCCCCAAAGCAGATACCACATCTTATGTTGCCAACAAAAGCTTCACCATAAATTAGTTGCTCTCGAGTACTCATCTTCAACATCTTATGCTTCCAGAGAAGATACCACATCTGCCTGAGGAACATATAAGGCAAGTGAGAAGGATACCAGGAAGCATGTGGAGACAAGCGTAACAGAACACGTGTCGATACATCCACTACTTTGTCAACAGCAAAAGTATCCCATATCATCAGAGTCGAATGTACTCTAGATTTGATGGACTTGTTTTGACCCTCAAATTCTTGAGTCGGCCTTATACTCTGGAGGAAACCAGAAAACCCTCAAGCCCAGTTCAAGAATAAGCATGTGGAAAGTTATTTCTTCAAAAGCAAAAGTATCTCATATCCTCTCTTCTCTATTTGCTTCTCATTATCCTTGTTGCTGTTTACGACACAAGGAGAATGAGAACAATCAACCGGAAGCCGAAGTCAAACCTTCGATCCAGGTTGCTTGCTTGAAAGTCTGATTGCTTACCTTATCTGTTACCTCATTCGGCAAATCTCCTAGCTCGACGACTTGGGGAACTCCTACTATAGGGTTTGTATCGCACTTGACCAAGCGCGAAACTACAAGTAAGCTTCAAGTGAAATTGATACATTACCTTGTGCATCTTCATCGGTTAAAGATACCACCCCTGGATGGAGGAAAAGTACTTCAAGAAAAGATGCCACATCTACATATGAGACAAATAAGGCAAGTGAAAATGATACCACACTTCAGTATTTAGAAGTTTCGTGATTACTTAATGGCTTGGATATTGCAAGTCCCCAACCGGAAGCTTCCCTCACTCAGGAACTTAGGGGAGCACTGTTTGTACCATACTTGACCAATCCCGAAACTACTGATCACCGATCAACGTTATACTGTCAAGGACCCAGAAGAGTTTCCCTCCAACCAGAAGGCCAATCACAGCGCGACACGTGTCGACATGAGAAGCCAATCATGGCGCAACATGTGTCAACATCAGAAGCCAATCACAACACGACACGTGTCAATGTCAGAATGAAACTAGAAACTCTCTTCTATAAATAGAGATCATTCTCTCACAATATTTCCTAATGTCATTTGTACTAAATCATTCACTTGTACTCACTAAAGGAGAGCTTGAACCTATGTACTTGTGTAAACCCTTCGCAATTAATGAGAACTCCTCTACTCCGTGGACGTAGCCAATCTGGATGAACCACGTACATCTTGTGTTTGCTTCACTATCTCTATCCATTTACATACTTATTCACATTAGTGACCAGAGCAATCTAGCGAAGGTCATAAACTTAACATTTTATGTTGTACCAAAGTCCCCACTGATTTTGTGCATCGACACATATATGATGAGCCAGCCTATTAACCCTGAGGGAATTTTGGCCTAAATTTGCTTTAGAAATGAGTTTTTTTGTTAAAATTCATATTTGGCACAAGGAATTGGAGCGAGTTGGAATAAGTTTAGAACCTAAAATTTGAATTTTAGGTTGAGGGTTGGACTAGGCCTAAAGATAGTGATTATATTGATTACATTTATTAAATGACCAAATTCAAGTCAAATGTATATATCAAAAGAATTTACCATTTGTAAATTTTTAATTACGTAGAAAGAACTTGAGAATATATTGCTGCACATCCAAGATAGTTTTTGAATAAACAATCTTCTCTTCACCAATCACTCACTCATCTTCTTTCTTCCGAACAAAGAACAATATCACTACCATCTGTTCAACATATACCTAAACTAAGTGCAAGTTCCCCACTTTTTTTACAAATGGCCAATCAATTTGTCGCTTTCGGTCGCTAATTAATCAACGATTTGTCTAACTTATTGAGTAACCACTTTACTGGTGTGAGCAATTGAACTAATTCACGTCGTTTAAATTTTAATTCCGAGACGCAACCACAAAAGCGAAAACATGTAGGCATACATGTAAGGACATATCAAAAAAGATGGAGGGCATTTTAATATTTAAACCTTGAGCAAAAGGTGAATATCTTGTATGAGGTTTTAGAACTTGTTTGGATGTGCTTTTAAAGTGACTTAAAGTGCTTTTGGTGAAAATGTTTTGGAAACCAATCCTCCTCAGTAGAAATGTAAGTAAATCCTGAAAAAACACTTAAAGTGCTTCCTGGAAGAAAGCACATAACGAGCCCTTAACTATTTGCTAGATATTTGTCCTCACTTAGCATTGTGGTGCTCGTGCAGCTTAAAGCAGAAAGAAAAGAGGCTTGGCACGGACAATGAGACAAAAAAGTAATTGAAACATGAGAGAAGGAGGGTGACGGGTTTTTCTAACTATTTCAGTGACTCGTCCGACTTGTGAGTTGTGTCTTGACATCGGAATATCGAGAATAATTACATGGTACGTAATTTCGTTCTATTTGCTTCAAATTGATGGCGTTGGCGGTGCCCACTTACCCTATGACATGCTTCAAATTCCCAGCAATTATTTGCTCGTCACCGATCGCACTCACCCTCTGCCTTTGATGATTATTCCTGGGCCAACTCCAACTATGGTGTCTCTAGACTGCTGGCTTCTTCTTTGGCTAATTAACCGGTAGCATCTAACCTTCCCGAATTAATGTCGAAAGAGCAATGCTCGGCTATTTTCAACGATAGGGCACCAAGCTTGTATCGGACATTGCATCAGTACAATCAATCTTCCTATCTCTCCATAGGACTGCAGGACAGAGAACCATCACTTGCAAAGCCCCTCAAAGACCACTCATCAAAATTAATGTAGATAAGGCTTGCGATCGAACTACCTGGGAGTATACCCTGTAATTGTAATAGCTTACACCTGTGTCGTGCCTCCTCTCTCTTCCATCCTTCTTCCTCAGATGTCATTGAAGGCTTGCATAAACTATCAGAAAAATGTATCACTTGTTTTACGCCAAAGTAACAAACATTTCACATGTCTCATTCGCCCACGTACAACTTTATACAAGTCCTGTAACACTAGACAAAACTATGGTAGTTTATTAGCTCTATTCAAAGCAAACATCCAATATCCAAGATCAATTACTGAGTGTCTCTAATCTGCAAAATAGAAAGTCCAATCCTTATAAGCAAGTTAAGCAAGTGCGTATGGAAATTTACACAACCATAGCTTGCTGAAATTTACACAACAGGACTCCCACTTAAAATTTCTGGTGTACAAAGTCAGATAGCTCAAACTAGATAAAAACATGTATGTTTTACTTACTTCGTAGTCTTGTCCCAGTTTCCTGTGACTAAGTAGTTCATTTCCTCCGGGATCCCAAGCAACCTCTTTTATGGGTGCATCATGTATGTAACGGTCACTGGTTGGTTACCAGCCAAAGGCCACTCTTAACTTGCTCGTCACAGCCACCAGAGAACACAGTAGATCCATCATCCTTCCAAGTTGAGCACAAAACCTATATAGATAGACATATATCCTACCCAGTTATATCACAGAATGTCCCTAATTGACATACATTGATCTAATGTGATCTCAAATTAAATCACATACTTGTGCATGCACAACATATGTTATGTATGTATAGTAAAACTTTGAAATAGTGGTGATCCTCATTGAAAGGACTCTTATCTTTTTAAACGAGATCGTAGAATAACAGTACAAAAATTACTTGCTTAAAATCAACAACATATAACAATTCTAAAAGCAATTGTGCTTCTACACAGAGATTGTACTGTTTTATATCTAAACAAAATTGTGCATCCAATTGTAACCGTAAAAACATTTTGCGTCCAATCTATTTCTCACTGTTTTTTTTTTTTTTTTGTTATATTTAGTATTGCGTAAAACTACTCTTATCTTGATTCCTGAGTAACATATCTAGAAACAAACAGCAAAACTATTGTTTGTTTAATATTCAACCAGAATAACGCTAAGTCGCTATGAAGAGCAGATGTTATGAATCATATCAGAGGGCCACGGCTGGATGTAAACTCCCCTAGCTCTGCCAGGGCCCAGTAGAGTGGTAAAAAGTCCAAGTTCAAATTCTATAAGCAAAGGCAGGCCATCTAGCATTTATAAACTCAACGGATATTTCTAATTCATACCCTAGTTATAATTAAAAACTATGGTTAACACATTGTTGCGTATGGATGTATCCTTAATTCCACAATATGTTGGAATTCAGAGTTGCGAAACAAAATAATTTGACTACCAAACTAGTTTCATGAGAGAGAGAGAGGGAGAGAGAGAGAGAGAGAGAGAGAGAGACATTACCGGACCGGTTGGTCATGGGGTATGGATGCGTTGGCCACACTAGCAAGATTTTGTCCACTCTGGTGTATCTCCCAGCATTCATTACTTAATCCTACCAATAATCTCTGTTTGGTTGCACAGATAAGAAAAGAAATTATAAATTCAATCCAATGGTGTATCTACTTCAGTTCCTATGAATCATACATACATATACATAAGCAATAAGCATACTGTAGTAAATAATTATACGTGAATCCTAATCATATATTACATTGCCTGGTAGTCTGATGACAGAAATTGAATCCGATCCAATCCTATAGAAAAACTTTCTTAGCAACCAAACAGAAGGTAAGGCTACATACATACATACCTGGTTGTCCCAGGAGGTGGTGGCCAGAATGTTGCTCTTGGGACTTTAGCTTAGGCTCTATAGCGAGTTAGTAAAACATCTCATAGTCCATCAAAAACAGCTAAATCAATTCACAACCCCTCAAACCCAAGTCACCCAATTGAAAAACCAATCCAAAGAACAGAACTTTAAGGTCAAAAAGTTAAAAAATTCAAAAAAATAATCAAATATTTGACATGGGTGAAAAATTAATCTGCTGCTTGCTTGAAGAGCTCTCAATTTTCTGCTTAGTGACAAAACATCCTATCTTTCTCCTTGAAAAAGTGCCGCTGCTCTTCACGCTCAGCACTCCCGACTCGCTGGGGGGGAAATTTGACAAAGAATTTGTTGATGGAGTGATCTGCAGAAAAAGGAAAGGAAGGACAACGGAGAGGAGACTGATTTTGACCAGTTCGATGTAGCAGATTACCCGGTTCTACGCGTGAGCTCGCCCAATCTCAGCCGTCAGATTTTGGTCCGCACGCAAGGTCCACACTCCACCGCATAAGGCCAATTATTTGATCGTTTGGAAGGAAAGGGAGCAAGTATTTGGAGGTTTGGAGGTTGGTGGGATCCAAACAGAAAGGGTTCAATCAAGCAATCATCCAAACCAGAGATACTGAAATGAAGTGAAGGCGATGGAAACCAAGCACCAAATCCACCATCACCCTTCACCCTTCACCCTTCACCCCTCACCAATTCAAAATTCCCACCCGTCGCCTTCATTTCCCACAACAATTACAAACATTCTCTCTCTCTCGTCCTCTTCAAGCTTCCTTCTTCCCCCTCTTCTCTTCCCCACTCTCTTATTAACCCCTAAATGTCGTTAGTTCCCACGCTCCTCCACCCTTCTACGACGCCGTTTTCACGTCCCCGGAAATGCTCCCACCCGACCACTCCAGCTTCAACCTCCTCACCCGTTTCATCAATTCCTACCCGTCCGATCCCGATCCGATCTCCCTCGGAGGACTGTTCCTGCACCCCAGCAACACCATCCCTCCGTCCTTCCTTTCTTTGATTTCTCACCGTACCCGTTTGCGTTCCGGTTCGGGTTCGGCCTGTTGTTTAAGGCGCCACTGCCACAAGACACTGCGTTTTGAAGGTTTAAGAGGAAGAGGTGGTGGCGGCGGGTTGTTTTTGTCTGTAAGCTTGTCGATAAGGGGGAGTGAAGGGGATGGTGGTGAGGAAAGGTATGTTCGGGAATCAGGACAAGTCCTGGGGCAAAATGGGGATAAAAGCTTTTCGTCCTCGGAGGAGGAGGCCGCCATTGTGGCGGTGTTCGAGGGTGAGGGTGAGACTGCACGGAAGGGATCGGGTGCTATGAACACCACCAAGCATCTTTGGTCTGGAGCTGTTGCTGCTATGGTTTCAAGGTTCGATCACTCTAAAACCCGAATGAGTTGTATTTGTTTGTGAATTACTTGACGCTTTTAGATTGACAATAGAATTACATTATGCTTTCTCCCATTCCCGTGTTTTAGCCGTTATCTCCATCCAAGGGCTAGTCACATGCTCATTTTAGATATTAATATTTAGGAAATTTTATTAGAACTTATTCAACCTCTTTCCACATCTAATACAAAAAATATTTTCTTAAAATTCCTAATTCACCCTTTGATTAAAACTGAAAAAAAGTAATAAATAAAACTGAAATCTCTTTCCACACCCAGTGGTTCTTTTCCACCTCAAACCCCACTGAAGATTCAGCGGCAATTCTCCGTGGCAACTTCAAGTCAAATTCTTTTAGCGTCACAACCACCTTATATGGCATATCATTTAGTTTCCACAAGTTTTGACTTCGAACTATTCATACGAGATAAATGATCCCTCTTCGGGTCAACGCCTTCCTTGTCAAAGACTCCGCCATCCCTTCTCGGCCATAGACATTTGTGGTTCTCCGCATTGCCGGCTCTATACCACTCGTAAACTTGTTACTAGAGAGGAGGTTCTACCCTTGGGTTTTCTCAATCTGGGTATCCTTTGCATTATCAAGCATTGTGCTTCGGCTTCTTGCTCTTGATCTTCACGTCTCCGACTATTTGAATGAGTTGCGGCAAAAGTAGCTTCAAGTAGTTGAACGGTAGGAAAAGCACCACACTAGTCGACGTACGGCTTTTGGTCTCCATTTGTACGGACTTGACGACGTATGCCAAACGCCCTGACATGGAAGTTGCAAGAAGGAGCTCCTTCTCAGCCAAGGACTACCACGACACATCACATGTGCAAGTTTCAATCGAAGCGGTCCTAGGCATGTTTTCCGGCGAAGGGAGGGGATGCTGCCACTCCTCGCCCTCACATAGCTTCGACTATGCTTGTAGGCCTCCGATGTCGGCATTATGATTGAAGAGTGTGAGAAATAGAGGAGGGAGAGGGACAAATAAGGAGGGAGATAATACGAAGGAGGAGGTGGTTAAAAGACGCCGGCAACAAGAGATTCACGCCGGCATCAGTGAAGAAGATGCCGAAAAGTGGTGGGCATATATGTGGGTTCATGTTCTTTTAATTTATTTTTACTTTCTAAATAACGTCGGGGCAAAATGGAGAATTTAATGGCAAAAATATTTAAGTTGGGTTTGAAGATAAGATAATTGGGTTTAAATAAAATTTTCCTTAATATTTAATGAACAGTATAAGGTTATATTTGCCTCCATCTCCAACCGAGAGCCAAATCATAGGGCTCGTTTTAATCCTGTCACAAAAAACCGTCTCCAATAGAGGGCCAAAGGGCCAAACATAATTTATTATTTAAATTTAAAAACTACAACAACTTAAATTCAAATTCAACAACAACTTAAATTTATAAACTACAACTTAAATTTAAAAACGACGAATTAAATTTAAAAACTACAAATAAAATTTAACAACAACATTAACTTGAATATAAAAACTACAAATTAAATTTAAAAACAACATTAACTTAAATTTAAAAACAACGAGGTCATTTGAAAATTATTGAAAAAATTGAAGGATAGATTTTTGAAAGAGGAAAGAAATTATGAGAATTGAATTGGTGTAGGAATGGTGAAAATTTTGTGAGAAATAGTGAATGAATGATTTAGGTATTTATAGGAAAAAAATCAGAATTTTTGAGAATTTAAAAAAAAAAAGGCCCAAAAAAAAAATTGAATCCAACAGTAACTAGCACCAGCTAGCCGTTGGATTCAAATTTCTTTTGAAGCATTCCTGTCGGTTATAACCGACAAGATTAATGTTTTTTCTGGCCAGCTCTTTGGCCCTTTCAGATTCCGTGGGGCCCTCTCAGATTCCACGAGTTCTTTGGCCTAGCTCTCGATTGGAGACGGTTTTCGGAGTATTTTTAGCCCTCTGGCCCTCTGGACCCTTCGGTTGGAGATGGCCTTAGATCATGATTTCTGTATTTTTAAGCTTACAACTTATAGGAAAATTTTATTTGAATCATTATAACTTCACTTAAATTTTAAATATGAATTATTTTTTTAGCCCTTTCATATAATTATCATTAAACACAAATGAAATTAACATCAAAACTAAAATTTATCAATAAATCCATGTCAAGTACTCAAACTCTTTGCCATCACGCAAATTTTCTTTTACGATCTATTTTGACTAAAACTCTTAAGACATCGTCATATGAAAACAAGCTTCTTTTTTTTTTTTTTTTTTTTTTTTACGAATGAATGGTGATTTTGAAGTTTTTGATCCTCCAAATAAAGAGAAATTTTTTTATTTGATTTCAAATTCCGATCAAATAAATTTTTGTGATGTGGTTTTGATTTTGTGTGGATATTTGAACAAAAACTTTGCACTAAAAACAAAATTTGTATGACCCTTTGTTGGATATTCTCGACCGTTAGAGATACATGCATTGTGGGCAAACTTTGGACTAAAAACTGAATTTATATGACTCCATTGGAGTTGGTCTATAAATGGAAAACAAAAACCCAATTGTCAGTTTCTCTTATCTTGTGATTTTGAAGCAACTAAAGATGGATCGTCCATTTCTCTTTTCGATTGATTTTGGTTCTGAATCATTTGTTATGCTTTAATTTGATTAATGGTACATCATATGCTTCTCCAGGACTCAAAAGAAACTTCTTGGTGTTTTCTTTTTTCTTAGGACGTTTGTTGCTCCTCTTGAGAGGCTAAAGCTGGAATATATAGTTCGAGGTGAACAGAAGAACCTTTTTGAGCTCATCAGGACGATTGCAGCTTCTCAAGGGCTGAAGGGATTTTGGAAAGGAAATTTTGTCAATATTCTTCGCACGGCACCCTTTAAGGCTATCAATTTCTACGCTTACGATACTTACAGAAATCATCTGATGAAATTGTCTCGGAATGAGGAGTCCACAAATTACGAGAGGTTTCTTGCTGGTGCTGCGGCTGGAATTACAGCCACTTTGCTCTGCTTACCTATGGACACGGTATGTTGCAACCTTCTACTGTTATTTGGTTCAGCTGATTTCATCTCGTAAGCACTTTTTTCCTGGTTTCTCTCTTAATTTGTGTTCAGATTATTTCTTCTTCAACTTTGTAGTTCAATGTGCAGAATAGGATTGATCGTCCATGACCCACACTTTTATAGGTCACACTGTAAGAGTGTGCATAGGCTGAATTCTATTGCTTGCACTTAAAAATTGGCCCAAGTCCTATTCTAAAATGTCAATTCTTTCAGATCAGGACAAAGATGGTAGCACCTGGTGGAGAAGCCTTGGGTGGTGTAATTGGTGCTTTCCGCCACATGATCCAAACTGAAGGGTTCTTTTCGCTTTACAAGGGTTTACTACCCTCGATTGTGAGCATGGCACCTTCAGGTGCAGTTTTCTACGGTGTTTATGATATACTGAAATCAGCTTATCTGCATTCACCTGAAGGGAGGAAAAGGATCCAACACATGAAACAAGAAGGTGATAAACTGAATGCTATGGAACAACTGGAGTTGGATCCCGTTCGAACATTACTATATGGGGCAATTGCCGGTGCTTGTTCTGAAGCTGCTACATATCCATTTGAAGTTGTGAGGAGACACCTTCAAATGCAAGTTCGGGCAACTAAGTTAAGTGCTTTTGCAACTTGTGTGAAAATTGTTGAGCAAGGAGGTGTACCTGCTCTTTATGCAGGATTAACACCAAGCCTATTGCAGGTATGGTACTCTGACGATTGTTTAGATGAGAACACATCTTATGTCTAGCCCTTTTGTCATTCTATCAGGTTTACGGTGAAGTTTCTTGACCTTTTTCTCATGTGCTCATCAGGTTTTACCGTCAGCTGCTATAAGTTATCTTGTATACGAGTTCATGAAGATTTTTCTCAGAGTAGAGTTGACGTAATAGTTTTCAATCCAGATCAAGGTCCAAAAGTTCTTGTCGAGAATGAATAGTTTGGTTGTGTTTCTTTTCTTGTTTTGTGTTTTCAATATATACTTGGGAAAAAGAGAAGAAACAAGGCACAGTGTTTCCGATGTTTTCTGTTGACTAACAGAAAGTTTGCTGTAATTTTTCTTGGGATTTTTAATGTCATTTGAGTAGCTAAATGAGGACTATAATTTTGTATGATTGTACTTGACCCGGGCGT